CGCAAGGTAACGGCTTGATATAAGTACACACATGAGCAGCAGTAATAGGAAATCTGCTCTCAGTGACCAATTTATCATTCTAACCACATATTGAGGGAGATTAAATATTACTTCCCTGCTGATAATGCATTAAGCACAGAAGCTCGCAAGGACAGATCAGGCTGGGCATCGCCTGTTATAAATTCCCCTCAGCTGAGACAATAGAAGACCAAGGATATTCAATTACACGCTTCACTGGGGCACCTTGATTTTTGTTGCTTTAAATAGAACTGAATGAGCCTCCACACATCCTCACCCAGGCTTGCTTCATGAATCCTGCACTTCTTCCTACTGCTATTTCAGAGAAGTTACTTTTGTGACTCTGACTTTCATTCTGCAAAAGACCCTTTCTGTGTCAAAGCCAAAASATTAACTTCTTTGGCCTGCTTATGGGATAGGTAATGGGCACAAGAGGAGGGGAAAAAAAGAAAAATACAAAGAAATGAGTACTTTCCACACAGCCAACAAAACCAGTGCAATTCAAACTTATCATGGAACACCCTCCCTCTTACCTCATACAGATGATTTACAAATAGAAAAGATTGCTCYGCCTTTCTTTACACAGAGAAATGTTTGCAGAAGAAAATCTTGGGGAAGAGAAGGGCGTGTGGGGTTTAAATCAGTTCCAATGGGGAAACATGCCAAAAAGCTGCTTTTCCTGAGAAGAATATAAAAGCAATGGACAGAAGGAATAATCTCTGTAAGGTGACCTGCAGGAAGGTTCTTTAATCTTTCCTCACTCAGATTTGAATGGAAGACAAACATTTCCCCCTGTCTGCATAAAAAATCTAAATTGCATAYCCCTTCCCTTAAAAAAAGGCATACACAAACATTAAGCTCAATGTAGTGAAAGGYAGAAGCTTTTGACAGAGTCCTGCCTGGAGAGTCTACTTCTCAGAGGGTCATCTCATCAACATAAAGCAGTGTGTATATACCCATATACATATACAGGTGCTCTAGCAGAAAAAGCCAGATCAGTCTTCTTCGACGACAGGCATACCTGCCCTATGTCAGCTGCTTATTGGCACAGCACTAGGTTTCCTGACACTTCCCTGAAAAAGCTATACGGGCTCCAAGGGGCCCTGGGCACAATCCAACATCCACCCCACCCTGAAACGTGACATTATCATGTTGAGGATGGCATGTATCTATGCCCCAAGTGGTTTGGGAAGCAGCAAAAAAGCACTGTTGTCATCATCCTAAATTCCCGCATCTGAAGTGCCTCAGGAAGGAATACAGCAGGAAACACACTGTGGGGATGACTGTATCTGCCCCAGGCCATTTCTTAAAGGCCAGAAGAACAAAACACCTTCAGCTCTCCTTTTTAAATACTGTTATTCASAGGACCTTTCATAGTTAATGGGAAATAACTTACTGAAGACTAAGAAAATGTCTTTTAACTATTTTCCCTGTGAATATCAGAGATCTAACTCCAAGTGATAGCTTATCTTATGTCAATATCTGATTCTCCAAATTTACACTGAGAGATTTCCATCCCCCACAAAATCAACTGGAGCAATTAAACAGGAGACAGTAAGAATTCAGAATGACTACAAAACTATCTCTGGAAAGAAATTCACATTTTTAAGAGCATTTACTCTGCAACATTTACAAGACTTATAATTGCTCACTTCAACATTTACAGAAGATCCTCAGGTACCATTACAAATAAACCACAACCTCACTTTTGTGCAAACCAAATGTTTGGTACATGCCTGTGTCTTTCACAGCTCATCCAGTCAATGCCATTCCTCCTTAAAGACTTTCAAGGGCTTTTAAGTGCTTGGAACATCTTCCTCCTTCAGTGCTTGGCTAAACTGAGGTTGTTTACTAGTTTCAGCCTCACTTCACAAACCAAGTGTGTCCAGCTTCTCAATCACTTGGTATGCTGAGAATTCACTGCTGAACAAAGCCTTTTCTCATCAGAAATGTAGGGACTTTTTAGCAGAAAAATCAGCATATTTAGCTCACCCTTTTGGTCATTCTAGGGTAGGGGTAGTGGGGAAGAAGAAAAGTGTTGCCTGGTCCTTGGGGCAGGATGTGCTCCACAGGCAGCCCTGAAGTCAGGCTGACACATCTCAGGCTGCAGTTCTGGGATTATTTTAAGATGGTTTAAGCTCAAGAAAGACGCCTGGATTTCCCAAGCCTCATGGCTAGCTGTGCTGTCTTGCCTGCAGCCCTTTCCTTGCAGCTCCTGCCTAGGAGCCACACCACACTGGGGAATTTATTTAGTCAAATCCATTGCCAGATGGATTCAGCTCAGCTTTGATTCTGGATCGCCATATGGTTGCAAGGAGAGCTACTTTTTGTAATTATCCTCTGCAAAAAAAGTACCCTCTACTGACCTTGATCTGGACCGATGATACAACAAAATCTCAAGCTTTGGTTTCCTACTGATAAAGACTGCACACAAATTCATTTCCATCAGTTGCACTAGCACTTATTTTTATTTCCCTCCCACTCCATGCTCACCATACAAYATTTAAACAAAAGACACGATATCCTCTTTCTTCTCTGCTTAAGGAAGTRCTACATACCTGTGCTGTATTCAAAATAAAACTTAAAAAAAAAAAAAAAATTATAATCTTTTGTATTGCAAGTAAATAAACAATTCCCTTTTCATTATGGACTTTGTGAAATGCAGAGTTATAACTGCAAACAGCCCTGTTAATCATCTTTGAGTAATATAGCTTTTGGTGAAACCTTATTTGAGTTTCACTCATAAAAAAAAAAAAGCAAGCTGTTTCAGTCTCACGTCACTAAGGCTGCAGCTCAGCTCCTTGCTCTACTCAAGATATGCATGGGGACACGAGCTTCAGAATTGYGGCTCGAGAGTCCTCCTCACTGAGCAAACACATTAGCATCAGATGCCATACGAAAACATGCATTCATTCATCTATCAGTACTCGTATTTTCTGAACTTCCTTCCTTGAAGACAGGTTTTAATTTGTATTTTCCCCTTCATTTCTCATTAGATCAGCTCCCAGTTCTGCTTCAGTCTGCCTGCAAGTTCTGTTTTGACAACCAAATTCATCTTTAGCCACTCCCTACTTCACCTGAAGTATGCAAACATTCTCCAACTGGTTTTCACCATGTAATCACAGTAAGMAACTATTTCCTGCCACTCCAACTTGTTGAGATATTTTTAGCTCAAGCTAAGCACATGCCTGTGGCAGGTGAGGCACCAATGAGAATCTGGGCGTGGGAAGACCTTTGCTTTTCCAGGGCCGARGAATTCCACAGCTTGTCATTCCCAGTAGGAGATGACCAACACTCTCTAGGAGTCATTTCTCTCAAGGACACACTATGCCTTCTTATAAGGTGCAGCTTTACTGTTGCTCTCCTGTATTATTCTTGCAGCTGCATAGGAAACAGCACAGTTCATCCCAGCAGTGGGGAAGAGAGACCTCCACAGCTGTAGCAGCCATCTTCAGAGAAGAGCATGGAGAGGGGCTGAAGACTCTACTCCTCCTCCATACAATCCCCAAAAGAAATGGCCCTGCCCCACCTTCCCCAGCAGGATAGTTGCCCTTCATATCACTTTGAGGTTGGTTCAGGACTGACTCAAGTGCCTATCACCCAAGTTACGTAGCTGGGAAAGCTTTCTATAAATGCAAAGCTTTAGAAGGGTTTAATCATCACTTGCTGAAAGTAGGTCCAGCCCTGCCTAGCCTGTGACAGTTAAGGCAGCTCAGTTATCCAGAAGGCAGGAAAAGCAGTCCTTTGGKAAGAAGTGGTCACATATCCTCCCATTTATCTGCTCATTTTATTCATCTTTCAATTTTCCTTTTCTGGAGCACTCTGCAGACATCTCCTCCCACCCCAGGGGAAGGCCATCAAATCACTCTAAAGGATGAACATGTTCATGTTATGTAGAGGGGCAGGGGTGAAGACTTAGTAAAGACRCAGATGTTCACAAAAGAGGCACACCATCTTCCTGCATTTAGGATGCTTTCAACAGTTAACACATTTAAGGGCTGTTCTATACTTACCTGCCACTTTTCCTCCCTTCTTCCCTCGCTTTAGCTTGCTTTTGATGCAGTGCCCTTGAACATGAGCATTTGGGAAGTCTCAGTAAACTAGCATGAAAAGGGGACATAAAAACTCTTAAGTCATGACCACTCCTGTCACAATAGGGAGTATATCATCCTTCATTCAGGGAAGTAATTATAAACTGATTATAAAGTAAATGTATATATTGCCCTCAAAAAAACAAACAAAAAGCACACCACAGATTTGTTAAAAACTATTTTGAAAAATGTACCACCTGAAAGAACAGCAYTGTGTGTAGATATAATTATATTTTTTTAGCTATTAAAACAACCRCTATTTTTACTCTTGACTAATTTTATTTCTGGAACTTTAGAATAATGTTCATTAGATTAGATTCAGCAGATCAAAAAACTCTCAATTGAACATTCCTTCTTTCATAGAGCAGGAAGTCTAGTTTGTAATGTTTTGCATTTGCATTAGTTTGGCATTTTTTTTTAATTGACGGATAATCAACACGTAGCTTCACACTCTTCTCTGGTCACCAAGAAAAATCAYCAAGTTTTTATAATGCTGGGAGAACTAGTATTAAATTCCTAGTCTGATATCAATAAAAGTGCATTTATTTCATTCTTGGGGAGTCTACTTATATGACACTAAATTCAGTATAAGTAGAGAAGACAACATAGGAAAAGCCTCCATAGCCATTTTCCTCTTAATATGAGCCTATATGCTGTTTGACAATGAGAATACCACCCTCTAGTGTTGATGTTCAAATACTACAAGTATCAGAAACAAAACCCTTTCAAGCCTTAACTACTCCTKGACATTGCAAAACCACTCCAGACTCTGAACTCAACTCCAGGCAGTAAATAGTTCCGTCTAGCTAGAACAGATTTACTCTGTTTTGGACTACTCCTTGGCCAACAAAGAATGTATTGATGTCATGTCTGAATCACTGAGAAGAGTGATATAAAACAACAATTTTTCTGTCATGGTTAAAGTGAGAATGCATCAGTGATAAGACAAGGAAAAGCAGATMGCTTTAAAATTAAGCAAAATATATTTTAAGTTCTCCATAGCACATGTCYCTTAACTAAACCAAAAGCATCACAGACATGCTGTGGTAACTGTTGCTTCTTATCTTTCTCCTCTTTCTTCTGATAGGCCTCATATCAGATGCACAGAGCAAGCTGGCTGGTGAGAGAGTACAGCAAGGGGAAAGCTGCACCCACCCTACATGCACCCATTCTTCTCTTCAGCATCTCTTCGGGAATGAGCTGGGCCAGGCAACAGCTCCTCCCAAGCCCAGAGAGGATGGATGGTCTGGCATCTCTGAAGAGAAGATTCAGTCCTTGGTATTGTAATAGACCATACTCAGCCTGTAACTAGCAAAGACACTGCTGAAGCAGTGAAGAGAAAGTTGTTTTCCAGCCAGATCCACCCAATTTAATGGTAAATAGTCCTGAAAAGGTCCGCTGGATGTAAATCAGTAGATTTTAACCTAATCTCACAGTCATGAACAGGAAGATAAAAGTTTGTCCAAACATGAACTAGAAGGCTTTCCTTTTCTTCTTTTTACCACCAGCCACTCTATTCCTGATACCAATAGCTTCTTCTGTGTCATCATCATCACCATCCCGAGATCGCTTCTTCTCCCCCTGCTCCCGCAGCTCCTGCAATGCAATCAGGTGAATGACCAAGCGTTCTAGCAGACAGAGAAATCAAAAATGCAACTGTAAGTAGAGGGAACGAGAGCATCACACACCATTCGCGCAAATCTTTGGGCCTCAGCCACACGTTCTGTCAACATCATGACCTCCTCCTCTTGCGTGGGGAATTCTGGCAGCTTCTTGCCAATCAGGTGTTCAATACGCTGGAACAGCTCTACATCATACCTGGAGGGGAAAAAAAAAAAAAAAAAAAAAGACAAACAGCTTGAATCAGCCCTCCTGAGAAAGCTGCAGCTGTTTTTATTCACAGACACTACCCTCCATCTTCACCACATATTAATTTGTGGTGATGGTCTCTGAAGCAACATTACTTGCATCAAAAGGTGCCATCACTGGTGACAGTTCCACCGATTTACACAATTTTATAATCAAGTTATGTATATTAGGCAATGCATGGTGTAGATTTATCAAAAAAGTTTCTTATTTAATGATGACATATTTAAAGGAAGTCTTTGCCAAATAATTCAGAAAAGATTTATTAGCCCTGCTAATATAACCAGTTAGCTCTGCTAGTTACATGCCTGCTTCTAGAATTTATCCTAGATCTTTTTCTCCCCCTCTCCACTCTTTGGAGATTCTTCCTCTTAAAAAAATCCCTCAAAAAGGAATAGTATTTCACTCTCTCCTAGGATGAGATAAAATATAACTTGCTATGAGATAAAACAGGGAAAAGAAGTCCACCACACTCTAACACTTACTGCGTAACAAAGGTAATAGACTTGCCAGATCTCCCAGCTCGAGCTGTTCTCCCAACACGATGAATATAATCCTGAAAGCAGTAAGACATGCACATCAAAAGACAGGACCCAGGCACACTGCCATATTATCTTCTTCAGGAAGGAAAAAAACTTGGGGAAAATTCAGTTTCAAATATTTAATATTGTCCCTAAGTACAATATTAGGATCTTAAATGATGCTGTCTTTGTAGACTTACTACTGCAAAAGAATTAGGACAATGGCTAAAACTAAAGAGATATCACCTGATGGTTCAAAGCTGGAAGACAGAAGTGATAAATGATTCTGCTAATGGAGCTGTCAGTTCCTTCGAAGCTAATATTTAAAATAAAAGTGGACCAACATTTCCATTTTCAGCCTCAATATCTACCACTCTTTGTCCATCTTCCAGATATTATCTTGCCAGCAGACACAGAATTGACAGGAACAGTGGAAGGCAGGATGAATGAGCTGTCTTCTGTTTACAATGCCTAGTGCCTCCAACCATTACATGTAACAGCAAACACCAAGCTTTGTGTTGATAATGTGCTTTCTAAACTGAGTTGGGAAGCAGTGGCATCCAAGAAAATATCCTGCTTTAAGCAAGAAACTTAGTAACTCACATTTTTTTCAGTTTGCTGTACTTTTGTGATAGGAAGGGGATTACTTGAGGATTGCTCAAGTAATCTTTGAGCAAACCCTCACTAAACATTGGGGGAAAACAGTATTTTTAATAAAAGTTTAAAATATGGCAGAACCTGAATAGTAAAAAGATAGCTACCTGTACCCAGCAATACATACAACTATTTTCAAAATCTAGAAGCCCTTTAATATGACGCAACAGAACACATATTCCTTGGAAAAATGGAATGACAGTCTGTCACCCTCTCCTGCTCCCAAACATAGGGATCAATTCTAAGATCAGATGAGCACATTCCAAACTGAAATATCAGCTCAGTCATGGAAGCTGCACCTAACTTTATCTGCAAGAGTATGAACTAGATGTCCAGTTAGCAGAACAAAGAACAAATCTTTGTTCCCTTGGAGAGATTACACCTCCCACTAACAATAAGTCTTCAGTCACCACACAGACCAGCTCACCTTGGAGTGGGTAGGAATATCAAAGTTTATGACCACATCTACATGTGGGATGTCCAGACCTCTGCTTGCAACGTCAGTTGCCAGCAAAATAGATCGAGCCTTTGCCTTGAACTTGTTTAAGGAGCCCAAGCGTTTATTCTGAAAGAGAATAAAGTAACTTTATTAGAAGAAGAGATAAATAAAAAGTTCACTTTCAGTTCACAGAATATTCAAGGTTGGAAGGGACCTCTAGAGATCATCTAGTCCAACCTTCCCGCTCAAGCAGGCACACCTACAGCATGTGGCACAGAGTGGCACCCAGGCGGGTTTTGAAGACCTCCAGAGAAGGAGACTCCACAACCTCCCTGGGCAGCCTGTTCCACTGCTCTGTCTCTGTCACCCTCACAGGAAAGAAGTTCCTCCTCACATGGAGACGGAACTTCCTGTGTTTCATCTTGCACCCATTGCCCCTTGTGCTGTCACTGGCCACCACTGAGAAAAGCTCGGCCCCCTCCTCCCTACATTCTCCCTTCATGTAATTATACATGTTAATCAGATCCCCTCTCAGCCTTCTCCTCTCCAAGCTGAGGAAGCCCAACTCACACAGTCTCTCCTCATACGAGAGATGACCTAGACCCTTAAGCATCTTTGTTGCTGTCCGCTGGACCCTCTCTAGGAGCTCCACATCCCTTTTATACTGGGAGGCCAGAACTGCACACAGTACTCCAGGTGCAGCCTCCCCAGAGCTGAACAGAGGGGCAGGATCCCCTCCTTTGACCTGCTGGCAACACTCCTCCTGATGCAGGCCAGGATCCCATTGGCCTTCTTGGCCACGAGGGCACACTGCTCACTCATGGTGAACTTGGTGTCAACCAGGACTCCCAGGTCCCTCTCCGTGGAGGTGCTTTCCAGCAGGTCAACCCCTAACCTGTACTGATGCCTGGGGTTATTCCTCCCCAGGTGCAGGACCCTGCACTTGTCCTTATTGAACATCATGAAGTTCCTCTCTGCCCAACTCTCCAGCCTATCCAGGTCCCTCTGGATGGCAGCACAGCCCTCCGGAGTGTCAGCCACTCTACCCAGCTCGGTATCGTCCATAAATACTGTTCATCTACTGTTCATATACTGTTATAGAAGAAAACGAGGCAGGAGGGGGGAGTGAGARAAAACATCAAGAATTCCACTTTTCCTAATGTGTCTGAATTATCACAGATATTAGACACAGCATTGACATTAAATATTGAGAAATCATCTAATTCACAAGTTGTGGATTCTTTCTCTTCCAAGATAGCTGTGATTCAGGATGGTGAAACCCCTTTCCCAAGCAATACATCTCCCATTTCAACCAGACTGCGGCCTGTGCTCATACCTGACTCATCTGCCCGTGGAGAGGGATGGCAGTGAACCCCAGGTTGCGAAGCAGTAGAGCAGTCCTCTGAGTGTTGTTACACGTACTGCAGAATATCATGAAGGAGTTTCCAGCCAGTTCATTCAGGATATAAACCAGATAGCTGTCCTGGACGAGGAAAATAGAAAAATCAGGACAGAGAGGAAAAAACACAAACAAACAGAAAAACAAAGACAAACAAACATTAGAGAGAGAGAGAGAGAAAAAAAAAGACACAGAAGAGAGATGCTGATATACATTAAAGCAATGGTAAATTAAGTACAAACTAGAGAAGGGAAAAAAAAAGATATTTGGCAGAGGTAAGAATAGCAAGACACCCAGAAAAGGCAAAAACCAAACCAAAACAAACACACAGAAGTTCTATTACCTTGAATCTAGAGGGAATGAAAATATAATACTGCTGTAGCTTTTCAACTGTTTGATATTTGGAAGAAACTGCACATTTAACAGGATTCTTAAGAGCAGCACGCTGGAGTTTTTGTACCTGAGAACAGCAAAGTAAGTTACTACTAGGAGGCCAGAGATGTTGTCACAAACCTATTTCTAGATGTGTTCCCACCTGTACCAGGCAGCCTACTTGCTAATATAGCCCAATAGAAAAGAACTAAAACCAGGTGCTCTGCTCTCACCTTTTTGGTCATGGTGGCAGAGAACAAGAAGGTCTTTCTGTCTCGTGGAATCACTTTCAGTAACTTATCCACCTGGAGGGGTGTGGGGGGTGGGGAGGAGGAGGGGAAAAAAAAAGAGTAAGCAAGTAAAGGGAAGTGCTGAGCAGAACACAAAAGCAGTGAAGGCACAAGTTCCCTCCAAGTATAATAACCATCCAAATGGAAGATGTTGTATGTGTGTTGTGTGTAATTTAGGCATTATATAGAAACAGCAGTCAAAAACTACCCCCTTCTAAAGGGGATGCAGGCTGATACTATGCTAACACTTGTACTGCAGAAGTCAAACAGTGTCAACAACAGGGATCATGACAGTATGTGCTTTCCTGCAGATAACACGGCTACCGTGTAACATGGTATCAGGCACTCTGGAGAAGCTAGGAGACTTCAGAGAGAAACTGTCCTCCACAGGTCTGTTAGTGATCTGTAACTCTCCTGGACTCTATTCTGACTATAAACCTTAGTGCAATTATTAGAATGCAGACCCAATTTGCTATTAAGTTCCAGAGGATGGCTCGACATAGCATTTACTTCAAACAACCCATACACTGTTTTAACAGTTTCCTTTAGCAAGTTCCTACCTCTGTCTCAAAATCCATATTGAGGATTCGGTCAGCCTCATCCATCACCAGATATTTCAGAGCTCGTAAATTGAAGCCCTTTGTGTTCTCCAGATGATCAATTAGGCGACCAGGAGTTGCTACCAACAAAACCAGAGGCAGCAAATTAAGGATGAAAGCAAGAGAAATTCAAGCAGACAAGTCTCTTAACCTTACAGTCAAGACAAGTTGACTGTAAGATGTGTACTAAGAAGAAAGAGATCAATGAGATTTTTAAATATTTACTAATAAATAGAACATTTGGTATAATAAATAGAAAACTACATCACAGTCAGAGTAGCAAAAGTGTTTCGGAACTGCTGTGTATTATAGAAACATTAGATAGCACTCAGATCTCAATACAAGATACTCTCAATACAGATATTTTCACTCCTCCTCCAATTACACAAAAGCTTCTGGCACTCTTCTCCTTGGACGATTACAATTACTGACTTACCAATTATAATATGTGGTTTCTTGGCTAAGGCCAGAGATTGAGACATCGTGTCAATTCCACCCACAATAACGGCTGCAGGACAAAGGACACAATGAATCTCTCAGTAGTTGACCCCCCCAATACCATACTGTGTTCTTTGCTACCCATAATTATAATGGAGAGCTACCTCTCCTAATGAGAATTTCCTTTATGCTTTGTCTTAGCATCCTTGATCTTTCCAGGTATCTTAGGCCATATGCTAGACCGCTTTGCTAACTGCAACTATTTTATTTTCGTCATTAGAGAGCTGCAGGCAGAACTTGTTCCTCACAGCCTAACTCAGTCATAGAATTTAAGAATTCTAAAAACGCCCGACTAGCTTTTGTGCTTGTAAAGAATATTTGCAGCATCAGTGTGACATTTGAAGGAATTTTTGAACTATATCATACTATACAGTTGAACTTTTATTCAACTTAACTGAACAAATGCTTACCATTATGAATTTATCATGAGCTTGAGAAAAATATTTTCTACTTCCATCTATAACCATTTGGACACAATGCAGAAGAGCTGCAGACCCCTCCATAAGAAAAGACCACACATCACAAATACTGCTTCTTTCTCAAACTTGATACCTTATCTGCGCTCTAGCATGAAAAGCTTTTCTCATTCTGCATTAAGCCTTTCCATACACACATTCTTCACCTTTTCCTTCGCACTCTAAGGCTGCTGATTCTTACCCTTTGGGCAAAACTGCTCCAACATAACAAGGTTACTCACCGCTGTGGACACCAATGGAGGATCCGAGAGCTTCAAACTGCTCTGAAATTTGGAAGGCCAACTCCCTTGTCGGTGTGAGGACAAGAGCAAACAAACGCTGCGGTGTTTCCAGCAGTGCTTGAAGAATCGGCAAAGCAAAAGCTCCTGTTTTTCCAGAACCTGTTTCTGCCAGGCCAATGATATCTCTGCCTACAAGGAAAAATAAGGAGGAAAAAGATCATTTGCAAATTAGTAGTACAGGAAGAGGCCTTCACAGAATTGTGCAAGAAAACATGGGACTTCTCCAAGGCTAGCAGAGAGACCAATCTCAGCGATTACTCAATGAAAAAGAAATACAGGATATTTAAGGAGAAGAAAAGACTAAAACAGAGAATTTTTAAATATTTTAAAGCCTTTTTAAAAGGTGACTTCACACGTGTAGAAGTAATAACTACAGTTCCATTTCCTTTTGTTCTCAAATACACAGATTTTCTGTCCTGGAAAAGCTTTACTAAAATGCTGTTTAAATCCTTTAGTCAACTTACAACCTATTGATCATACTTGGTAAGTAACTCTAAACCCGTTATTGACAGTTTACCAGCTTATCAGGAAAAGTACTCTAGTGCTCAAGAGTTAGGTCACACCACGTACAAAATAAACACACTGTCAAATTCATGTTCCACAAGCTACTGTCTTTTCTGTGCCAGAGATGAAGACAACGTCCTAAAGCAGTCTGCAGTCAGGAAAGGATTAGGGAACAAATCCTTGGCCAAGATCAACACCCACTTCCTAAAGCTAAGGAGAATGCATTGCCTTCAGAGCACACGTTCTCTGGTATGCCATTATTACTAAAGAAAACCTAGTATATGGATTAAGAAAGGAGCCCAACAACAGTGAGGCATCAGGACAAAGCAGACACTGAAAGCTTACTCCCCTTCTAGAGTAGTAGCATTACACTTCTGCTTGATACAACTAATACACACAGTTTCATATTCCAGAGGCAGAAGTGCTTGCTCACTTTTTTCCCCTCCTTGTAATTTCAGAGTACTCCTAGGAAGCCGTTACAATTTAGTTATTGCTCTTTCCAGAAGTCTTGTTTTGAAGAACTGTCTGCTTACAGCAAAGCAGACAGTACAAGCCACGTAACTACTTAAAGCATCTCCACTTTCAGGTGCACACTGCAGAGCTCTACCAGACAGAAATGCTATCCCAGCTTTCCTTACGTATTTCATAAAGAAATCGGACAATGCTGGCTAGCAACTCAAATAATTAGTAACAATTCAAGTTAATACAGAACACTTGAACTCAAAAGCACAAGCGGACACATAATAATTCACACATCCATTCCAAAATTTGAAATTGCAGGCCAGGTAATATTACAGATATCATTTAGCAAAAGCACAAGGATACACAGACAAGGATACAACTTCTACATAGATCTCTACAACAATAAAAGAAATAAGAATGCTCTCATCTATGCCACTAASTTCCCACTCAGCAAAATTTATTCCCACACAGCTCTTGGAGCACCCTCACATTTAGGAGGAAAGGCAAACCACTCACCTTGGAGAGCCACTGGAATAGCCTCAACTTGGATCTTTGTTGGTACCTTCCATCCTAATTGGTCACAAGCTTCACACAGGACATCTGTCACTCCCTGAACATTAGTGAAAAAAAGGAAAGGAAGACAGACATCATCAGAAAATAAATCTGAACTAGATCACTTTATGCAAGTAACACATTGCAAAAGTCAAGTTGGTCTCTAAGAAAGACATACCCTAACACACCCTCAATGCAAGTACATGAAAGCACAGGTTGCTTACACARATGACTCCTTGTAACATCACAAAACTGCACTAAACTGTCAGAGSTGACTGGCATCAGTAATCTGCTAATCAAGTATTTTATTCAGTAGATACACGCAGCCTTCCACAATGCAGCCAGCCACCCTCTTCCCCTGAGGGGCACACGGCCAACATAGAAAAGAAATAAAATTAATAGTAATAACAATAAAACACTCCAGGGGGAGATAGAGCGATTTAAAGCAAAGGCATCGGGCTGAGGAGCGCACAGCGGCGCCGCAACCCCGGCTGAGTCTCCGGGCCTGCCCCTCGCTCCGTGACACGCGCGGGGCCAAGCCAGGGCAGGCGCTGCCGGCGCAGGCCCGGCGCGCGGCTGGGAAGGGGGCTGCTCGAGGCGGCGGAGGGCAGATGACGAGAGGAGCGGCCCCCGCTTGGCCTCACCAGGTCCTTGAAGCTGCGCGGCTGCTCCTGCTCTTCCTCCGCCGCGGGCTCGGCCTCCGCCACCGGCTCCCGCGCTTCTCCCGCCGCCATTTTGCGCCGTCGCCACCACGCCGGCGTGGCCGCGGAGCACGCCGGAAGCTGCCACTCTCCCCCCCCGGGGAGTCATGGGGTTTGAAGTCCACAAGAAGAAGCCAATCGGAAAGAGGAGGCGGGGCTTCGTCTCCGCGGCGACCGGGGCGCGTGGGGGCGGGGCGGCGGTGGCCGTTAACGGCCGCGGTGGCCTCGCCCGCGGTCAGTGCCGCGGCTGGGCTGCTGACGCCGTTTCGAGGCCCTTGCTTCATGCGTCGAGATAGCAGGCAAAGCAGATGTGGAATAGAGGTGCTTGTGTTTCCTCGTGGTCGGGAGGCATCTTCTCTGCAGCRAGTTCTTCAGAGCTCAGGCCCCTGGGAAGCGAGTTTAATGCTTGAGGTAACACATGCTGTAATTTTCCCCCTCCTGATGTAAACAGTCAGATGTGACAGGGAGGGCTGAATTTCCAGGTCCAGAAACGTCCTGATCCAGCAGACTATTATTAGGCAGCCTGCTTGAGCAGACCTTTTTTTTCTAAATTCCTCTAAGGGGTGTTTTGTTTAAGATTAATACTTTTCTAAATCCAAAAGAGGGCACACATTTTCACTGACTTGAAGTCTCTAGGGAAGAGGGAATTATAGAGCTGTAATAACCTGTGCTGGGAATAGAGCACATGAAATTCAGTGGGTAAAAACCTGCTTGCTTGGCATTACCAATGAGTGCAACRCCTCTGGCCTGCAACTCAGCTTTCACATTACTTAGGCTGTCTATATGATGTGTTATTTTCCATACCCTGAAATTCTACAACTGTGAAGGGACAACTCAAAATAAGCCAGCCAGACACAACAATACATGTAAACAACACATTTTCTTCAGAAATACTGCTGTAGAAGTCTTTGAAATGCTGATGTGGAGAAAGAAAGAAAAATCCAGAAACATCATTGCGCCATCTTCTCTTTCGATTCATGGTGATTTCCAGTGTGCAACTTTCAGGTGCCAGAAACACATCCCCCAATTCTCTAAACTCTAGGAATATGCATAAAATGATGGAATTAGAAGAGGGGTAAGGAGACAAGCACTTCCCCAGCTGCCTTGGTTGCTTTAGTTGTCATGCAGGATGTGAGCTTGTAGGTACACAATAATGGTGAAAAAGGTGACAGACTTTGTACTCTGAGCAATAGTAAAATATGATTTAATATTTGTATTTTCTGAGCTGACTGGTTTCTGTCTAGTTTGGGTGTAGCCTCTATAATCTGCAGCCCTAATGCTGACTGCAGTGGGGCAGCCTTGGAGTTAGGTTGAACATCCTTTGCATKAGGAAAAAGGATGCAAATGTTTCAAAGAACTTGTGCCTGGGAGCACCAGTGGTGCTGACTTCAAAGTGGAACTCGTGACTGCATTTCTGAGCACACCTCCCTCTCTTGCCACTTGGGAGGCCAAGCTGGGTGTGATCACAGTGGAAATGCTGACGTACCCGAGCATCTGCCACTGGGTTCCACGGGTGCCATTTCCGCCACTCCCAGAACAATGAGGAAAGTGAGAGGAAATCCGAACAAAATCTCTGCATGACAGGGGAAAGGAAAGGAAGCCTGAAACAATTCACAGGGCAGCAGTGGAAATGAAATGCTGTGTGTCCCACTGTGCTCAGGAGCAATGATGATTTAAAAAAAAAAAAAAAAAAAAGACACACTGTGGATACTATCTATAACCACTGCTTTCAAAACAAAAGTTTGAGCTGTGGGCTTGCTATGCAACCACAATGTTAAAGACTATGCCTGACTAGTACTTAGATGTGAAGCCTTGCAAGGGTATCTTAAGGAATGAAGTCAGGGATGTGCACGTTGCTTATGCTTCTTTGTTGGACTCATTGACCATGTAATATCGTAGATGCTCATTTAGTGGTTAGATATATGTCCCATACACTAATGGTTTTAGGAGGATATTTTGTAGGAAAGTTATAGCTGTTCTAGTGAATTACAGTTTGGATAATTCCCTTTTGTCAGGGAACATTTGAGTGGAAGTTCCCTCCTGTGCTAAACTGCTGGGGAGAGCACCTATGTGTGATAAAATACATACTGCTTCCCATTTTTTGCTTGTCAGAACAGGGCACTGCAGATTATATTGGGCTTCAAAACTTTCCCTCCAGGGCTCTTAGGCATGGCTTTTGACCACATACATTCCTAGTACTCCTGTGGGTTACAAGTGCAGTCTTCCTTAGAGGGAATGGAGGTGGGAGCATCCATAGCAGGTGAATTTTAGTGCAAGTAATGCTAATGATTTTATAAGGGATGCGTAATGAAGGAAGATGGACAATGGGTAGAGTGGGGTGCAGCTAATGGCAAAAGATCCTATCCACCTTTTGGGATGTCCGAAGAGAAATTATTGTAGCTACCTTTTATTATACTTTTAAAATATATTAAAGGATTTTTTATTAAAACAACGATCTTATTCCTGCTTCACCATTGAATCATTCCTCCCTGTAATGTTTAAAAAAAGGAATAAAAATTGAAAGGCTAACCTTCATAATTCCTTGTGCAGCCTAAGGAAAGGTGTCTAGAGCAGGGTGAGGAGGATCAGGCTACCTCCTCCTTGGCTGCTAATTTCCAGATCAGTATAAGGGATGTGTGAGGACATGAAGACTAAAAGAATCACTTGGCTTAGAAAGTGTCCAAAAGCTTGATTAGGTCTTAAACATATTCACATATCTCCTCTGTGTAGTATAAAATACCTCCTAGCTGAGGCCCCAACTTGATCCTCTGGTGCATTTCTAGCAAACACAGCTAGAGCATGATGTGACTGATACCTTACCAGAAGAGTGTGGTTTGTTGGGGCTGATCACACTCCCRTGGTGCTGCTGCACAGCCACTCAAATCCTGACCTCAAGGAATGGTTAACCCAGAGAAAGACAGGACAGAAGCAGTTTTGGCTGAGAATAGAAGCCGAGGTATGTCTGATTTGTCCTCAGCTTTGGAAGTAATGTCTGTGACTGCAATGCAGGACTGCGCTGAGCAGAGCAAATCAGCCCTTGTGAAGCACTGAGTCAAATTCAGATCCTTCAGCCATCCATATTAGCCCATTCTGAACTATCTTGTTCCTATGTCCATGTTTGTTCCTGAGGTGTTTGTTCCTTGTGTTTAGACAAGCACTGTATTGTCCAAAAACTGGGAAGGGGATAGGAGAAGTAGGTTATGTAATTTTCTCTATGCTGATAAAAGCAGAGCTATCTCTGCAGTTAAATATTTAGGATAAGTTGAATCCTGTTGATGGCAATACCAGAAGGAATGGAGAAGCTGTGTTTTAGCAGAGTTAGCTGGTGGTATGCTGGAGCACTAGCAAAGTTTTTGCATTGTGTCTACGTTTGTGCAATTTGCACCCAAAAAAAGTACTTGCGTGCTTATGCATAAATATATCACAGTGTTTTGCATGTTGTCAGAAACTCACATCTCCAGTGTACACAGGCTGATATATGGCCAGAATATGCTTTCACAAAAACATACAGGCATACACTCGCACACAAATGCCAGCTCTGTGACGTGGAGCTGATGACCTCACTTCTCATTCTGAGGCCCTTTTAAGCACTTGTAGTGCTTGTATACTGCTTGCACTTATTCCTCAGTTACAGCACCTGGGATGTGAAAATGAGCAGGATCAGGCAGGGGTAGGAACGTAATCCTTTACATGCAGATTATAGGGAGACACCGAGGCGAATTTGCTTCATATTCATTTTAATTGAATCAGCAGTATACTTGTTCATTTACAGCAAACAAACATGGATGTTACAGATGTCTGAGTCATGCTCTGAAGGACCAAAGTATTTCTTTTTACTTACATTTTACTTAGTAAAAACAAATGTTGAAATCATGGGAGGAGATGGAAAAAAAGAACGGTGAGGATTCAAGCTTTGCAAGAAGGAACATTGCCCTTCCCCAAGAGTTTACTCAGTGAGTGATTTTCTGATTGTTTTGATTCAGAATGTGCAGAGAAATTTCCCTTATCCATTAGAATCTCCTTGTGGAGAAGGGATTCTCTCTGCATTAACTCCCTTGGTTGTCTCAAGCTAGCTTCCAGGGTCTCTTCCCTGAACCTCTTTCAGGTGCAGACATGATCCCTATCATCACAGTGCTTGAGCACTCTGTAATATTTGTTCTAGAATACATCACAAGGTAGGAGAGTGCTACCATCCCCATCTTTACAGGAAACAGAGGCATTGAGGATTGCCTGACTTTCCCAAAGTCACAGAGGACATCTTTGGCAGTTAGTCACTTGAAAGCGAGTCCCAGCCCTCCCTTCTGCTTCCTAAGCGCTCTGAACATTGAATCAGCCTACCCCTCTGCACCTCTCTTGATTATTAGTACCAGTACATATTGCTGATGTGAAGCCTTCACCTCCTAGGGAGCAGTCCTAGGAGTGTGTGTAGCTCTCTGTGAGTGCTGCCTCCTCCTCTCCCTGTTAAACAAAYCCCCCATGAGTTTCACAGGCTGCTCAGCTGTACAGAGAGCCCCCTCACCCACCCCTCACTGCTCCATCAAACTTAGGCTCCAGCTTGGACCGTCAGCACCAATCTATGCTGCCCTCCCCGCTGCATGAGGTGCTGTTGCTTTCTTCCTCCTGTACCCTGAAGCACACTCTGGTCCCAGGGTCCCTGACCTTTCATTCTCCCTATTTCAATTCCTAAGAGCAATCACTGGTGACCATAGGTCCCATATTTTATATCTTCCAACATTCTGGTCACGCTTTTCCCTTTCCAATGGACCTTGTTGTCCCTTACAGATATAGAATGGGTAACTTGCTCTCACATGCCACACACTTGCTTTGCCTCTAATTATAGCTGCTTCCCTTCAGAGTGAAGGCCTTCTTTCAATAAGAAAAAAAAAATTTAAAAACAATTTCAAAGTCCTAAAATAATCTTATTTAAATAAATAAAATACAAACATTATGTTCTCGGCCTGGAAAGGTTTCTTTAGAAGGGAATGTATTTTCTGGCTCCCCTGTTTCACTCTTGAATGATGAGCCATCTGCCAATACAGTCTGTAGTTTCTGGGTCTGCTTCCTTCAATAGCCTTTCCAGATGTACCTTCATAATAGAACTGTATTTTACAGGAAATTGTGAGATACTGGCTTGTTGAGGGTGTCTCAGCCCCTTCACTGTTCAGAGTCTCATAGTTTATCTATAATCCAGGGTTAGCATCAAGGCTRCAGGGTTTCCACCAGTCTTCTGACCCACTTCTTTCCACTACCATGGGGAAGCAGAGCCAGGAAGGTGGCCCGGGAAATGTGGATCTGGGGGACACTTGCTTGACTCTGCCTGCCTGTCCTGCAGGCTCTGGAATCTGCTGCCATGTACCCACGGCCAGATGTCCCTGGTAAGTTCGAAGCTCAGCTGGGTGGGTCCTGATAAGGGGGAAAGCTTTGGCTTCCTGGCAGGGAGAAGGTTGAGTTTGGATATAAATAAGCACAAGAGCTCTGAGCACCTGTGTGGATGAGCACTGCCAATGCTATCGTAATAGCAGATAGCAGCACTAACAGTAACATTGGCAATTAATAATGTAGTGTCTCCAAGCTCTGTTCTAACYATGGGGGCAGACACTATTTCAGCTGGATGGTCCTGGGGTCTTAGCAGTGTCTTTAGGGCCAAAGCTGAGGTTTCTTGTGTGTGAGGAAAGCTCTGTCCTGGACTCGAGTAGTTCACAGAGTTCATCCATTGCTCTGGTGCAGGTCTCGAGGTTAGTAGCCAGCTTCTGTATTTTGGCCTTCAGCACAGTCTGGCTCACTTTTGTGACCTCCTTTGTGTATTCTGGCACAAGGAAGCTGTGGGAGCCATAAAATACCATGAAGCAGATGGAGTTGTACAGTGAGATGGAGGCCCTCTTCTCAGACTGGAGCAGAGTGGGGTCCCCTGGGCSCTGCCCCCGGCGAAGGAATTCCAAGCAGCCAAGGATTTCCCTCATCTGTTTCCGACAAGTCATTGCAATTTCCTGGACCTTTTTCACCTCCCTGGAGTTGCAGAGCACTAAGGAGAGATCGGAGGAGATGCTGACAGCTCCCCCTGCAGTGGCTAGCCCCAGACCCACAGCTGATGCTAGGAGAGAGGCTCCCAGGGTGGCTGGGCTCAAGGACAGTCCCACAATGGCCGTGACTGCTCCTGCAGCAGTCAGGGAGCTCCCGCTGATATTGGCAATTAGAGACCTTTTGCGAAGCTTGCTGATTTTCTCAGCCACCTCATGAAGATGTGCGATTTGGCCATGCAGCCTCTGTCTCTGATCCAGCAGCACTGTGTGGAAGTGGCGTGTGGGGTCTAGTGCTTGAGGAAAATCAGCACCGTTTCTCTCCATGGCCTCTGTCCAGAAACAAAAAGATGGTTTTGAATTTATATATGAAGAAGTGAGAYGTGCTCATCCTGGACCTCCATTCCAGAAGTGGCATCCAGCCAAGTTTTTGGTTCATCCAGCTACATGAAAGGCTTTCTGTCTGCACGCACACACACCCTCACGTACATGTACACATGTGGACATTTACTTACTACTGTAACTACTGTAACTTTCAGACTGAGAAACTTCTGAATGCTTTTCTTGATCCCTGTGGAGACTAAAGTGTCTTAAGATCTGGCATTGGGAGTACAGTTATTCTTATCTCTATGAAGGCACAAAATGCCTCTTCTAACCCCAAGGACAGAAACTTCCTTAAAATGAAATGGCCTAGTGTGCAGCCTAGTAATACTTCCAGAAGCAGCTAGTGTTGCCCCTACGGTGGAATTCAGGGGCCTTGCAATATTCAAAGGCATCTTTGCCAGAAAGGCCGCATTCTCAGGAGGTGAAAACCTGCAATCCCAGGTTAGTATCTGAGAGTCCTTCCCCCTTAAAGGGGATCAGGAAGTATCAGGATCTGTCTTTCCATCTAGGACCTGGGAAGCTCCTTGATGTCTCAGAGGGTTATTGTGGACATCCTTCCTCTCTTTTTGCCTCATTAATGTTCAGGGTCCTGCAACCTTCCTTCTCCTATTGAAACCTGGTGTGAAGGTTTGGACAAAGTTGGGAATCACTGTTCTGTGGTGCTCAGTCCAACCCATGGTTGTGGATCTCCTGACACTAACAAGAGCTTAAGACTCTTGCTTAAGAGTTCCACAAAGGGCACATCAGAAAAGCAAGCTAACTATCTGTGTGCACTCCTTGGGAAGGAAATTACGGGGGCTATGAATAGAAAAGGTTTGAAAAGTACTGGCTATAGCAACTTCCCTGACAAGGTAGAAGAGCATCTTCTGCTTCTAGATCGTGAATCTTCAAGGTTTCAAGGCTAGGTGATCTCTGTTTAGTTCTCTTTGCTTGCTTTTGTCACAAAGGCAATGACTTAAGAAGGATTTGTAGGTTGCTGTTAAGCTGCAAAGTGTTTTATAGATGATACAAGCATCATTAACTCTGTTTTACATAGAGGACAATTGAGGCTTGGGGAGGCAATCAGAGTGATGTAGCATCACTAGTTGCCTGGTGTGCCTGCTTGTGTTCTGCACAGCACTGCTGTGATTGCAATGCTGCACTGCCTTTGTACCTAGCAAGGTCTAGCTGTGGAATTAAGAAGTTCTTTGCAGTCCTAAATACCCTCATAGCCAAGAGAGGTCCTATAGCAGGAGGACCCTGTCTCAAAGCCAGCAAGACAAAACTATTCACTACTGCAAACAGTTTCTGTCTTCCAAATCTTCTTTACTCTGTGACCTGGTGGCACCTGGTCCCTCAMACTGACACACTGGATGGTTAGGATCCTTGTGGCTTTTATTCTACAGAATCACTGTCTTCTGGAAGGAGGAAACCTCCTACCATAAAGAGTCATTTCATCTTGAGGTTTGTAAGCAAGAATAGGCAATTCTTGCTGCATTTTTTTTCCCTTCTATGCATCATAATCACTCACACAGAACCAATTAGGATCCCCTTTTGCCCCTCAGAACAACTATCCCAGTCTCTTCAAGGCTCACAGCATTGCCTGGCTATTTGAACCACTGGGTACACTGCTCTTTTCTTAGTTGGAGGCAGCACCATCTTATTTTTCATACTACAGTCAGATATGAAGCTGAACGTACCAAGACTAACACTAATCTAAATAATAACAGACCTTGAAATGAACAATGAGCATATCATCAGTGGCTTAACTGTGGATCAATATCATGATCATTAAATGTATTGATTCCTGTAGCCTATAAACAGTGTGTTTGCTGATATTCCTGCTGCGAACATAGTTATAATAATAACAGTGGCCATCTTATGGCACAGTTAATAGAACAATCATTCAATATTTAGTATGAGCCTTACACCAATGCAAGCTTTCTTTTACACTGATATATTCCAACATAAAGGAAAGCAAACACAAGCTCTGCTTTTAGACAAAAATCTTCCCAATAACAAGATGTAAATTCATCCCAAATCTGTTTCTGCAAATGATTTCCTAACACAGTCCTCGGATGGACTCCAAAAGAATGATGATTTCAGCTTACCTTTAGTTTCCAGCTGGCCTCCCCAAAGACAAATTTTGGTCTGTTTCTGGAGGAGACCAATTTATAGCTCCCGCGGACCAATTGCTGTGTTGGGAATGCTTTGCCTCATACTGGGAGTTTGCAATTTCCTGCTCTCCCTTGTGCAGAAGGATGTGACACACTGGAAAGTGACCTGAGGGACAGCGAGCACACATCATGTTCAGGAAGTGAACCCTGCGAATGAACATTGTGTGTTCGCTTTTCCTGAAGTGTAGGGGAAAAAAAAAAAAAAAAAAAAAAAAAAGGTAAGTCTATTCCTGGCTCTGAGCTAGTGCAGTCATTCTCCTTCAGGGATTAGCTGCCCTTCCTTTCCCTGAAATAGCAGCTGACTTTACTCTGTGCTGGAGCTCCCAATTGCTTGATGACTGAAGTTTCCCCCTACTCCGTGTCTAGAGCTCGCCAAGCATCAGCCAATCAGCCCCTCCATTCAAGGCCAGTATACTTTTAAAATCTTTAGGGAAGCTGTGCATGTGAGTAGCTGGAGCACAGCTGTGGAATGAGAGAGTGGCAGTCCGTTCCATAAACGGGAAGCAACTCCAAGGCAAATGGCAAGGTGATTGTTTCAAATTCCCATCCTTGCCCCTTCTACATGAACAATATTGTGCCATAGCTCTAAAGGAGGGGATCCCTGTGTTCATAATGTTCCCTGTTTATGATCCAGGGCACACCAGGACTGTATTCACAACACCTTTCACAAGGTGCCTGGGATCCTCGTCTTCACTGCCTGCTATTACCTGGCACCTGTGCCAATATCCAGATGTGACCAGAGGGAGGAGATAATAAGGGAGGTCAGGAAACAGCATCGGTGATACTGCTTATGCTGCCTTTCACACTCACCCAGGCCTGGCTTCAGTGAAAGACAAAAGATTCTTCGGATGAGTTCAGAAAGTGGATTTATTTGCAGCACTAACTAGTGCAACTCTCTTTAGACCAACYGCAGTGGTATGTGTCCCTATTGACATAGAGTCTATGGTGTCAGGGATTCTGCATCCTGCCCTGCCTCCCTGGGGCCAACGCCTGGGCTCACTGACACAGGAACAAGGCAGCAATCATGGAATGGGGGAGGATACAGTGAGGGATTAAGACTCTTGCCTCGGAAATCTGATGTGAGTGGGGTGTTTTGTCTCCTGTTAACGTCAGTGGAGATATAGGGTGGAAGTCAGTTGTTTAAGCACAGATGTCTAGTGATATTATAGGTTCTGTAGAAAGCCACCGCTGCCCTTCTGCCTTTCCAGAGGGGCGACTTATCTGACAGAGTCATGTGAATGTTTTGGATGCCCTACAACATTGTAAAGAACACTGAATACCTATGGGCAGGTATCTGAACTGAATCTCAAATTGCCACTGACTGTAGTGGGAGGTGGAATATCCAGCTTGTGTGTAGACACTGCCATTCAGATATCTCAATTGACAAGCTGTTCCTCACACCCACTTCAGTGTGTGATGACTTTTTACTATAAAAGGGGGCTTACTTTCTTCCAACAAGGGTCTAAATAGCAACTGAGGAAGCAAGGGAGCTAGCTTAAATGCTTCAAAAAGATCATGAGCTAAAAACATTCATTGGGAGAATGGTTGACAAGGGGTAACATCTCACCTGGTTGCACATGTACATGGTGAGATGTCACTCTGAAAACATGTTGCTCTGAGGAACACAGGAAGGTTAAAATTGTACAGCATGGTAGTTACTATTGACCGTCTTTTCTCTCTTCCCTGCCCCGATGGTTTCCCTTTTCCGTATGTGGATGGCTTAACCTCTGGTAAGGAAGCTACTGAACTGCCCAAATTGCAGCAATGTGACCTCCTTAGGGGCTTGGTGCAACTGCATAAACTTAGGAGCACAGTGAGGCCTGCAGTGCTATAAGCTATTTGAAATATTTTTATGGGGCTGATTGGTAAGTCACAGGTCCCATGGGAAACTCAAGCCCTTCTAGAACACGGCACTTGAGAATATCTGAAATAGCACCAACCACTTCTGCAGTGAGAACTGCACAGAGGCCCAAGAATCTTATTTCTCATAACAGAGCAAGAAGCATGGAAAGAGCCTTGAAACACAGAAGGATAAAAAGGGTAGAAAATGTCACAGCTATATTGACATGGAATTACACGTGGGAAATCATGTCTTCCTGACTGTAACTTGATGTTATCCAGGGCCTAACTTCTTCCTGCCATGAACTTTTCTAAAAGCCTCAATGCTGTGCACATGAAAGCTTTTCTTAAATGTGGACGACCATTTGGAGCAGGGGTGCTTGAAGACACCAGACCTTCTCTCTCACTTAGCAGATTCTTTCTCTTTGGGGCTATGGGTCTGAGAACCTCTGATGATTCTTTGGTGTCCTCCAGTTTKGCTAATGACACAAGTTACTCAACTACTTTGACTACTGTAGATCACTTCCTCTTGCCACATGGAATACCTGCAGGCTCATGGGGTAAAAGCTTATTCYCAGCCCATTGCTTCAGAAGGAGTTTCATTCCTTTGTTAGATATAGCAGATATCAATAGCAGATGAACATGTTTGGGTTCAAGAGCTGCCTCGCTAGTGTGGATTAAGTATTCCAGCCTTCTTTAGGTCACTAACAAATTCAGCTATTCACCTCCAACTCAGGGGCAGATGCTCAATCTTGAAAAAAAAAAAAAAAAAAAGACGAAGACATTATTTAAAACAAATCCACCAAGGTTGACAATACTCTGTTTTCATGAGAACTTTTAATAAAGTTCCGATCTCCCAAAGTCTTTAAGCACATTCAAGAACTGAACCTTAAAGGGGCTTAATTTTTCTGAAGGGCTAAATATCCATCATAGTCAGCAATAGCTTTG